ATTTAGAGATATCTGGGAAATTGGAAAAGGAGGATTCGCAACTGTATATAGTGCAACTTGGTATGATAGAATTAATAATACGTGGTGGTTCGTTGTACTTAAAGTTGTTAGTAATTCAAATGTAAATGTACAAGAATTTGTCCAGGAATTAAAGAATTACTGTGAAATTGGCTACGCGAATCCTTCGTTCTTGAATTGTTTTGGAGTGTCAAGAAATAATTGTGGCGATTATATTATTGTTATGGGGATTGCACCGAAAGGTTCGTTACGACAAAATCTTGTAGAAGTATCACAATTAGAATGGAAAGATAAATTGAATATTTTGTACGGTATAGCTTTGGATCTCGAATCAATTCATTCACAAGAACTCGTTCACAGAGATTTACACAGCGGAAACATTTTGCAAAGAGATAGCTTGCATGAAACATATATTACTGACCTTGGACTTTCTAAAAAAGTAATGGACGGAAAAATTTGTGGAATACTGCCGTATATAGCACCTGAGATTTTGAAGGGTCAACCATATACCCAAGCATCAGATATTTATAGCCTTGGAGTTATCGCAACTGAAATTTCGAGCGGACAAAGAGCATTTGATGGAATTCCGTTTAATGGCGAACTTGTATCAAAAATTATCAATGGGACAAGACCTAAATGTTTTGGGCCAGATTGTTTTATCAAATTAGCTATGAAATGTATGGATAAAGATATCGATGACCGACCTACTGCAACAGAAATTATTGAAATGATCACTCGTTGGTTAGATGAAATCGATCAGGAAGAAGATAATGAAATCAAAAAACAATTTTTGGAAGCTAATAAGATCAAACCAAAACCGATTGAACAAATACATGCACAAGACATGTATACTAGCAAACTATATGACACGAAAAAATTTTCCGAATTTATTAGTAACTGATTAGTACTGTAGAAATTGAGAGCAAATTCTTAAATCTATATTAAATATGTCTTAGGAAGATGAAACTATAGTAATTTTTTTATCGAAATTATTGCAAAGATAAATATTTTCTTAACTTTAGATTAATATTCTTTGTATTTTGATAGATTATTTCTTTAAATAAACCTTTTAAAATCAATTTAATCTTTTTTTTTTTTATCTTTGCTTCATTGCCATCTTTTATTTATTACTTCTATAAAAGTATTAATTTTGAATCTAAAAGTTCACTAATATGCTAAACAACTTAACAAAGCAAATTTTTAAGAACTCCGTTTTAATTTTTATCTAAACTAAATGCTAGAAATCATGATATCTACTGACGACCTAAAACGGCGAGTCGGTCGCTAATCAAATCGAGACCTTGTGTAACCTACGTTTGGCTTAGTCGAAGAGGCGTTTAGATTTGGCGAGTGAGTGATTTTAGACGTAGGTATTCTTCTTGTATTGGACCTTGTTAGTACGCACTAACGTTTATGTTTTCTATACACACTAATTTCAACCAAACCACGGCTGAGATCTTCCACTTGACCTCAAACCGGAACAACACTACCACAGATTCCGCAGTCCGTTGGGAAACTGGAAAACAACCACAACTATCTTCGGTCCGTCGAGACAGTTGGAAATATCAACCACGGAAGTCCTCAGTCCGTCGAGAATCAACCGGAAAGCAATCTTATTCGAAGTCACGTGAGCAAGACAATCGATGGACGAAGATCTTTCACTATGCCACTTAGTGATTGATCAGGGTAAGAAGTATTTTAATATAGCGGGTTTATTTAGAGACTTGGGTTTATATGGGTCAATTGGGTCAATTCGGTAGTTTTTATTAGGGATCGATAGTTATAAGCAAACGGAACTTATTGTTCTTAGGCCTTTATTTATAATGATAGCTTCGGTATTACAATCAATGGCATAAATTCCATAAATTCCATAGAAGCAATAAAAGCAATATAATCAATATAAGCAATAAAAGCAATAAATGTAGTAAAAGCAATATAAGCGATAAAAGCAATAAATGCGATAAAAGCAATAAATGTAATAAATGTAATAAATTGCATTTAACCCCGTGATTCTAAATCATGCTTATGCCGCAGCAATCAGATCGGTTTCAGGTACTTATTTAATTATTGACCAAATTTATCACAAGATCATCGCGCATCAAAGATGGATCAAATTCGAATCGATCGTGAACTAGTTCACGATTGTTTCGAATTTGATCCATCTTTGATATCTTGTGATCTTGTGATTAGATTTGATAAATTTGGTATTATTCAAATCATTTTATTGAATGGTGTCATAAGATATCAAACTCAAACTCAATTATAAATTTAGTTCACGATCGATAGGATATAGATTTAACCATATAAAATTTCTTTTTAAAAGTTAAGATTGGGTGATGATTACCAAAGTCAATTGTGAACTAGTTCATGTATATATTGCATTACAGCATTTTAACAAACGCATTATAGTATTTTTGTATTATGATATTATGGCATTACGACATTACGGCTTTACGGCTCACAGCAATTACAGCAAAAAAATACGGTATGTGCCGTAACCATATAATTTGTAAAATTAATTTCACCACCAACTATATGACCAACATAAGGACAATATTCAGCGGGAAATGCAAATAAATCCTAATTCGAATTGTAATATAATGGTTTCAGTATATCTCCTATTCTGATTACAGCAATTTGAGAGGTTACATCGATGGTAACATTATTTAAGAATACAAGATTAACAATAACAATCTTTATTGCTAAGTCCATACTTTATTTTTTATTATGTTCACGTAAAAAAAAAACCAATATCGCAAATAGAATTTTATTAATTATATAAAAGTTATTTATGTTCACAAATGCGATATAAATAAAAAATTTGTTGTAAGCACTGTGAAAATATGATTTCCAATGTCGGTCTATACCCTTCATAAGAATGACTACCTGATCTTGAAATAATAGGGAAATTTAATTTTGTTGCACATTTTATAGTAATTTGTGTATATAATACATCTATCAGATGAACAAATGCTGCTGGAAAATAAATAGTTAATTATATTCCACGTTAACAACTTTATTATAAGCAAGGTCTTCTCCTAATGGATAGATACTTTAATCTGATATTGATCAAGACGTTCTTGAAGAGATTCTTCTTTTGGGCATTTACTGTATAGTGTTGCATGTATAGTTACAATCGAAATAAATATAACATTATAATGTAAAAAAAAGGTTATAACTGTTGCTCTTTCTTAATATTTATAATTATGCACAAAAATTAGTAGGCGACTTTTAAAAACTATTAAATTTTTAAAATGTCTTTCGAAAAGCATAGGTACGATTGTTCACGTGATTGGCACGCTAAAGGTGCCGGAAATAAATTCAATTAAAGGACTTTAAGTCCGCAGAATACATTGGGAGTAATTTGAACTGAGTAATTTGAGCTGAGTAATTTGAGCTGAGTAATTTGAGCTGAGTAATTTGAGCTGAGTAATTTGAGCTGAGTAATTTGAGCTGAGTAATTTTGAACTGAAACGATGATATGCTCCCGGGAAAATTAGCAAGTGAGATTGCGCCCAGGTATCATCGTAACAGTAGAATGAGTGAGAAGCAGCATCAGCCGGTGGTTTCCCGCCTGCTCGAAGCAGGCCGGCTGTTAAATAGGAAAATGGCAGAATCAGGAGAGTGTTCCCATGTGTATGGTGGGAAGGGTTGGGTCGAGAAAATGACGGTTATAATGCTTGATTATGTTGCAAGGGGAAAGAGAAGAATGCTGGGAATTGATTTCTTTGTCGCCTCTTTTATATTGATTGAGGACGGTGGCTTTCTGTTACGTAGCTGTGTTTACACGAAAATCGATATGGTCTGATGTCTCTTTCTGTAACGCGGCTGTGTTACGCATGAAAAATCGATGCGGTCTGACGTCTCTTTTTCGTAGTTGTGTTCGCATGAAATCTCGGTCCCCGACTTGTATTATCGGGGCGGAGTTGTCGCACGTGTAGTGTAACCCTGACCACTCTCCCCTGTCTTTTCGATCTTGTCAACATGCATTACCGTATAAGCGCGAAATAACGCGCAGGGTGTAATTTCGAAATTTGGCCTAAATTAAGCCTAATTCGGGCCGTTATTCAAAATAACGCCCCTGCGCGTTATTTCGCGCTTATACGGTATTTAAAAAAAAATAATAATAACAAAAAAAAAACAACTCAGATCTTGAAATAATTTAAAAACAAAACAACCCAAATTTTTAAATTGCAATTATTAATGACTAAAAAAAATTTTACATGAAAATTATTAAACATAGTACAGTAGTAGTATTTAAATATATTCATGCATTTAAATAATGAATGTAAACAATATGCTTCAGGGTTTTTATATGTCTCTCTCTCAATGGATTTACCGAACAGCCTGATTGACTTAAACAATTATACTGAAAAAGAATGTGCTTAAGCAGTTCTCTCAATGTGACTATTTAGTGGTTAATTGATATAACTTTACGAAATTAATTGTAAAAATGAGAGGTTTAAAAGTTTAAAACTTTCAGTTAACCATTAAAGAGTTGTCACATTTGCTTAAACAATAATCATTTTATAGCCAGTTAGATCATTCTATAAACCATAGAAAATGTTCGAGAACAGTAAAAACCTGGATCTATAATTCCAGTCTTTTCCTTTTCATAGAGTTCTCTAAACGATTAAAATTTAAAATATGCATTTCGCAGCATCTTCGATCCCTAGTTATATTGAGAGTACAATTTAAGAACACATTCATGCTCAAATATAAGAAATTACGCAGATGAGTACATTGGCACTGCGAAATTTGCATTCAATAGCCTTGATCATTATTTCAAAACTATTATGCAACAATATATATTTCTTATCTCATTTGTATATTATAATGAGAATTACACAATCAAAAAGAAAAACAATCGGTTTATAGAGTGCATATATGCGCTATTAGCAAAAAATAGCTGAATATGAATTATCTAAGTAATTTCCGAATATAATTTTATTTGAATTTGCCTTAAATTGATTTCATTATAGTCAATCAAAATCATTAGGAAGCTTGAAATCTTCAAAATTCATGGTAGCCAATTCTAAAAAGAGATTAAGATATAAATATTATATTTATATTTAAAAAGTAATTAAATTATTTTACCTTTAGTTATATTAATCATTGGTCGACTCGTATAAATGGCCCCAGGATGTGATGTCAGCTTTTCTTTATTAATTAATACATTTTTCAGATAAACCTTGTCGGCTTTGTCGATTTGTTCTTGAATCTCTTTTACAAGTTCAAAGCCATATTTAAATTCATACCAATTATTAATTGATTCACATATTTGATTTGCCGTTGGCCTTTTTGTAGGGTCTGCATCCCAACATTTTTGCATAAGATCTTGATAAAATGGTGGTATACTTTCTGGAATTTTTGGACGAAGTCCTTTTGATATTTTTAACGCCAAATTGACATCATGTTCGACATCAAAAAAGGGTTGCTCACAAGAACTTATTTGCCACATGAGAATACCAAACGCATAAACATCTGTTGCTTGAGTAAATGATCCACGAGAGTTCAATAATTCTGGTGCCATGTAAGGCATTACACCGCTTAAATTCTTATCACTACTTGCTTCTGATACTGATATGGCAAGCCCTAAATCTCCGATTTGACAATAATCATAACTACCATCGAACAAATGCAGTACGTTCCCCGGATGAAGATCCCTTTTTGCAAGTGAATAAGTGTTAAATTGATTAAAACCAAAAATAACTATCAAAATTTTAATTATAATATTACCTATGAATTAATCCTGCCTTATGGATTTCATATAAATTCAAAGCAATCCATCGTACAATTCTAATTTTTATTTGCCAACTATTTTCTTCATTTAATTTCAATCGATTGCGTAAATCTCCTTTAAAATATCTCATAACATGGAAATATTGTCCTGTAGTTTCGTTTTTAGTAAATCCATAAAGTGTAACTGTATTGATGGGATCTCGATAAGCCCATCGCTGTAGCCTCTTGGCTTAAAATATGAAAAATAAATACTTATGTGGCTATCAATAAAGAAATAAATAATATATAAAAAAAACAAATAAATTAAATTAAATTACTTCATTAAGAAAATCTTCTGTTTCTGTTTCTCCAATTGTCTTTAATGCGACATATTCATTATAGTAAAAATCTTCATTATGTGTTAGTGTTTTATTATCTTTTTCCAAACGATGCCAATCATTATTTTTCTGATCCCAATACCAAATTTTTTGTATCTTTGTTTTAGCTCGAAAAACAGTTCCATAACCACCTTTACCTATCATTTCAATCTCAGAAAACATTTCCCATGGATACCATTCCAAGGCTAACCTAAAATCCCATGCATAAGCTTGTGCGTGTTGAATGAAGTAATCAATCTCTACATTACCTGATGTCCATGTAGAAAAGAGTTGTCGAAAACGAGCGGCATTACAAGTATTGCACCATTTATCATATGCACCTTCAATACATTCTCTTATATTGCCACATTCTTGACATCGTCCATAATTTTTAAGTCTTTCCTCTTCTGTCCTATATATAGATTCGACAGAAGCATAATCAATGAAAACATTGTTAAGATAGTCTTGACATGCAGTCTTTTCGTCAATGTGGCAGAACTGTATTTAATTTGTTTAAATTATTCATGGATAAAATAATATTATTATAAAATTTTATAAATTTATTTTCTGACCTTTTTAACTTTTGCTATGTGTGTTTCTCTTGACATGATCTTGTTTTGTAAATTATAAACACGGAAAAAAAATCGTAACTTATATAGATTTAATTATTATAACGTTTATCCTTTTATAGACATGTATCGGTTCCATATTAATCCGATATGAAATGTAAATTATATGAAACTTGTATCAAGAGTCGTTTGATTAACCGTTTAGCGTTAGTAGTTTCATAGGTTATATATAAGTGAAACTAATAAAGAGAGTGTTCAATTTTAAGTTAAAACTTATGCTATTTTTAATCCTGTGTAGCTTCTTGATCAGCCTGTAAACAATTGCATCATTTAAATGCCTTCCGAAATATACTTCTATATTGTAAAAGAGAAATATTAGTTACGTAATTACAAGCAAAAGCGTTAATCGTAAGAGGTTGATCTTTAATTTTAGCAAATCAAAAATATTGCTGACCGATCAAAAATCTAATACGTAACTTGATCTACACTGTTGATAACTGTTGATAGACGATATATTAGAACTGATATGTAGTGTATAATACACTATAGAATACAAATTTCAGATTCTAGTTATATAATAAATTTTTTTATAATGTTCTGTATTTTTTTTTTATTCTCAATGAGTTTCAACAACCTTTATCTGTATCTTCACCTTTTATGCCCTTTCAGTTTCGTCACCTTTCGTCAGTATCTTCATTTTGTCATAAAATTTTAGTTGACGAAAGACGAAACTAGGCTATAGGTACCCTGTAATGTGAATGCCTATAAATGTCAGCCTTAAAATGGATGATAGTAAACCTGAGCTAATAGTGATGTGTACTGGAAGTACAAATTCTGCGTCAATCTCCGATTTTAATTAATCAACCCGGTTTATTCTTTAATTTTTCACAAATTGAAGGGTAACAGGTTGATTTTTAATATAATAATCGAACTTATTATAATTTATTGTTGAGCAAATTATTTAAAATGAATAATATCAAAGTCCACGTGTCAAGCAAATATATAAAGGGGGTAATTTACTGTACCTTAATATAAAGCTAAATCTAAATTTAAGTATATTTTAATTTACTAATGGCTCAGACGGCAAAGTCATTTATGATCAGTTCTAGTTTATTGTATATGATCAATTTGATCAGCATTAAGATACTTAAACTAAACTATTCACTGATCAAATTGGATCGACCGATCTGCCTGATCACGCAACATTATAAATTACTATATAACTTTTTTTAAAATCCCTAGTTATAATATTCAACAATAAGAATGTATTAACACAGTATCATTGACTTATTTAAATTACTTGTCATTTCAAGTATATTTACTCTTTTATTCTTTTTCAAAACAAAAACTTATTTATTCCATTAATATTCTCATGTTAGCAGATTTTTGATAACAAATATATGCTTTATATTCATCTATTTTAACACCAATTCCATTTTTATAACAATTTCCAAGATCAATCGTTCCATTAACATTTCCCATATCAGCTGATGTTTTAAAATAAATGAAAGCCTTATGTTCATCCTTTTTAACACCAATTCCATTTAAATAACAATATCCAACTTTATATATTCCGTCAGCATCATCCATCTCTGCAGATTTTTGATAATAAATAAATGCTTTGTGTTCATCCTTTTCAACTCCTAATCCATTTTCGTAGCAATCAGCAAGATAGTACATACCATTGGCATTTCCCATATCAGCAGATTGTTGATAATAGATGAATGCCTTATGTTCATCCTTTTTAACAACAATTCCTTTTTCATAACAATAACCGAGACTGATAATTCCCTTAGAATTACCCATATTTGCAGATTTTTTATAATTGATATATGCTTTATATTCATTTATTTCAACACCAATTCCATATTGATAACAACATCCAAGATTGCTAATCCCACTAGCATTTCCCATCTCAGCAGATTTTTGATAATAAATAAAAGCTTTATGCTTATCTTTTTTAACATTAATTCCATTGTTATAACAATCACCAAGACCAATAACTCCATAAGAATCACCTAAATCAGCCGATTTTTGATAATAAAAGAAAGCTTTATCATAATCTTTATCAATACCAATTCCATTCTCATAACAAAGGCCGAGATTATACATTCCAATAGAATTTCCTAATTCAGCCGATTTTTTAAAATGAATATAAGCTTGATTATTAACTTTTTTAATCCATTTTCCATAAAAACAATAATAACCAAGAATATTTTGAATTATAGGATTTGATTGAATAATTGGATTTGATTTATTCTTCCAACATAAATTAACTATTTCTTCTGGTTTTTGTCCTTTGTTTATTATATATTCGTCTATTGACTTAAGAATTGAACCTGCACCTTTCATAACTTCTTGATCATGTAAATCGCATAATTCATTAATAGTTTTATTTAAAATGTTCATTATGCATTCGTTACAAAGTATTACTGATCTTATACTCGTAAATAATAATTTTTATTGTAAATGAATACGTATAATAAAAAGTAAATTTTTTATCGGAGTGAAATTCCGAGACTTTTTTGTGCAGACAACAAACTAACATGTGTTTAAACCCTTTTTTAGTATAATTGAAGCTTAATTAAGGTTGAAAGCCAATTTTAATTGAAATGACGTAATATGCACGTATATGTAAAACAATTTATACTGTATATAGTTTATTTGAGATAATCTTAAGATATAGTATAATAACGATAATTATTCTGAAGAAAGATAATCTTAACTAAACGTGTAACGAATGCCTAGATATACGTTTAAGTTTAGTTAAAAAGGCAATTTTAGCAAACATTTCAGTTTTTAATATGATATAACGTTGCATAGCTTTACATTATTAAAAAAATTAACAAAACTTAAAAACTTTAAATTTGATTTTCAAATAATAATGAAATCGGATGATATTGAAAAAGTAATAGAGTGGGAGCAAAAAGAAAGTATGCCAAATTTTGAGGTAGTGCTGCGCGACCGAAAGAAAATTTGATAATAATATTGTTTCTTTTTTTGAATTACCTATAGGTACCGTGAATTATAGAAGCTAAATTTATTTAGTTATTCTCCCAATAAAAGCAAAATTCCATCTAAAATACATACCAAGACAATACGATAAGCATTTCATACGAAATCTGGTAATTATGGTCCACTATCGGTTTTCCTTCTAAACATGGGAATGAGTATATAATATTCAAACTAATTGACAATCTATAATAAAGAAAAACGTATTAATTGATAATTTCGTAGTAAGTTATCTTTATTTTCGATAACATTCTAATTAAAATTAGATTATTTCGAAAATAGAGTTAATAACATTGAAATTTAAAAAGATATATATAACGTTATGTCACATATAAACAACCATTTAAAATATTTTAAGCAAGTCCTAATCATGGCGCCAAAAACAGATAAAATTGTGAGTAAACAAATATATAAATATTTAGCAAGAATAACGATGCTTGATCCACTATAAAGTACTTATCAAAATTTAAATGTTACATTTTATATGCTAAATAAATGCTTACGAATTATAATCGTTTTTTGATTCACATTCTATATATATATATGTACAATTAAACTTTAACCTTTTAATATTAAACTGATTATAATAATATAATACGTACCACAAATATAAAAAAGAATAAAAATTAGGAATGCAAATACATAATTCATAAATCGCATATATACATATTTGCTGTTTGAAAATATTCATCATAAAATGATAGTTGTCTTGGTTGACGCGGAATCCCGTGACGCAAAATCATGAGATAGTACCAGGACCCTAAACACGGAATGCGTCAAGGATAGCACAGAATTGTCGCAGAAAGTAGGATTTATAAGTTTTTTTTATAAGTACGCATGATGCTAAAAGCTGAAAATATAGCTGAAAATATAGCTGAAAATATAGCTTCTGAAAATCTCCAGTGTAGAAAATAAATGAACCTAAAATACGAGCATGGTCGAATTAAAAATTTTGCTTAATATCCGAAATTATCCAAATAATAAACAATCAACTTATTGCAGAACAGCAGAACATTCAAAGTTTCTATTACAACCAACACAGAATTCATGAATAACAACGCGGGATTCATATATTTAATGCACAGAATTTGATTTTGTCACGGGAGAAATTTGAAATTTATCACTGCAGAATGGATAGTATATTGAACCTAGGTGCCGCACAAAAAATGCGCAGATCCTCTATTTTGATTGGCTAAGAGCGACGATCAAAACATTAGGCCTAATTTTACTAATGAAATCACAGCCGACATTAAGTGAAAATTGCTCCTGGGTCAATTTTACCATAATGCGGACTTATTTCATAAAAATTTCTAGTTTTGTAATGAGAAAATTAAAAGGTAATTTAGGCCGGAAATTAGTAATGCGGGCCAAAATTTTGAAGATCCTCGGCCGTTAGCCAATCAAAATCGAGGTCTGCCGCGCATTTTTTGTGCGGTACCTAGGGTTGTACCTACAGGGGCGACTAGGGATGTTACGGTCCGTCCCGGTCCGGTCTTGGTCCCAAAGACCGGTCCTACCAGAGGACCGCGGACTGGACCG